TTTATTCATTTATTCATTTATTCATTTATTCATTTATTCATTTATTCATTTATTCATTCATTCATTCATTTATTTATTTACTAATTCATTTATTTTCATTTCCGCGTTTATTTGAGGGTTTCTACAGCCTGTAAGGTAACGAACGTTTCGCCCTGTTTGCCAAAATGACTTCAGGTTAAAGGGTGGCTGTGAAGTGGTACGAAGCAGTCGTGCTGACCCACTTGCGTTGACGCGGATGCAGTTGACGCTGGCAGTTGAGTGTTTCCACAATCCGATGAGTAGAGCTGGCCTTTCCTCGGTGGACTCGACACAGCCTCGCTCTCGCACAAGACAAGGCTCGTCCAAGCTGAAGTGGACGCCAGCTCCGGCCTCGCAACAGTCTTGACCCCACCCCCAGCAACGGCCTGCGCGTCGGATTGTGCCAGAATGCAACTGCTAATCGCTCAGCTCGTCACACGAAATCGGCTGAACGCAGCCCATTTGTCCGATCTGTCGGTGCTCTCGAGAACCCACTCACTGACGCAAAAAAGCGTACACGAGGAAGGTTGCGTTGGCTCAGACGATGGACCATCTCTCTTGGACTGTATCAACTCGGAAGTGAAAGTAGGACGCATCGAGCCCAGAACAATCAGCCTCAATCATGCTCGTCAAGTGAGATCTTCGCCTGCATCTCTTCACTGCACGCATTGTCGCACAAAATGAAACATGACAGGCAAATGTTGCCCACAAAGTCTACAAATATGAATATTGGTCGAATGTAATCTACATGCATGCAGACAAGGGATGCACATGAAATATATACGAAGAAAAGTTGGGTTTCGATGAATCTCTTGTTTCATAATTGTTCAGCTTACTTCCATTTTACGGATTTGCCGGTGAGTTTTCTTGACTCGTTAGCTTCAATTTGGTTGTGACGATGATACCCTTGATGCTCTGATGATGTCTGTCACATGACGGACGAAAGCTTAGCACCTTTTCACCGGAATCGAAGCAGATTGCCTCGGAAACAGTGTCAACAGGAAGCTTCCAGAAAAGCCAATCGACAGCTGGTCAAGAGGAATCCTGTCATCTTCTGGTGGAACGGACCTTCGAATCTGTTCACCCAACGCCTCCACTCGAAATGGAAGTAAGCCTCACATGAAATGTCTGTCTTGCCCTGCCCAATTGATTGTGTGTGCAGGCAGATGGGGAGTAACACGAATTGGAATGTTGCAAAATAGCGACTAATTCGAGTCATGTCTTGGCAACAAGAGGCATCGGTGGCCAATCAGAGGGTGGCGCAAACAGCCCATTTGTGGGGACTCGAAGGGCGTCCGGCTTTCGAGGACGTCCCCTCGACAGGAATGTCATTGCAGGTGAGAAAGAAAGTGGTCCTTCGAGGCGTCTCTTGGTTCAGCGTCGTTGCGCTTGTCTCCATTTCGAAGCCCGGTCCCGCCGGAAGACGACCATCAACGGATTCGTCTTGACCAGTTGGCGATTGGCTGCGCTGCAACATTCTTGTCGAGGCCGTCTCGTTCGAATCCGGCCAAAAGGCGCTCATCTTTCGTGCCCCGTACGACGGACTCCGTCAGAGCAGGGGAGGGGGTGTCATCCTTGCGACCGTCTTCAGGTAAACCTGTCAACAATACAGTTGCTATGGCAATGTCCAGCATACGAGGCACGAAAGCTGAGCGCCTTTAGACCGGAATCGGACGACTGGTCAAGACGAATCCGCTGATGGTCGTCTTTTCCGCGGGACCGAGCTTTGAATCTCTGCACTGGCCTGGACACTAAATGCCCTTGAGGGTGTCAAGGTCAAGATGGTACTGGCTTCGGTATGGTCGTAGTCTCCTTACGACGTTTTCAAGTCATTTGCTTTGGTCGAGTTGCCGAAGCGAGTTAGTTGAATTCACTTGGTCCGAAGTCGTAGTTCTCATAATTCCCAGTCCTGCACCGTCGACTTGGTACCTTCTCAGACATTTCGCCGGCATCGCACTCGAAACGTCCAGTCAGTCGTGCCATTCTCAGCCTCACTCTCACCCACAACTTGTCAATTCGTTGACGAAGATTCCGCCGAAACGATTGAGTTATTGCTTCTACAGAAAGAGCATAACCACTACAGCAGACCACTTTGGAGAGGATGCGTTCAACTAAGTTGCCCTGACGACACGATCGAACCCGCTTCAAAATATACCCTTTTGTGGATACTTTGATGTTGTATGAACGAGCCTGACGAAGAGATTCGGTGGTCAATCTCATCGAAAGACGACGTCTGATGGTCACTGTTTTGCGGCCGTGTTCGACGTTAACAAGACGTTCGGGTTGACGCGGGCCACGAGGCGTCATCTCTCGTTTTGTGTGAAGCCGACCAACATGATCGGAGCTGGGACTGAGCCTTGCCAACGGCCCAAATTGACACCAAGACACGAAGACTATCCCACTTTATGCGACAGGCTATGCTACTCATGAGTAGAAAATGAAAATGCCCAAATAAGGACAGACATAAAATGATTTGGTTGCTTCTCTTTCATACTAACAGGCAGATGGCGATGCTACGAGTTCGACTAACGTGAAATGGCACTGGGTCGCCCTGACAACACGACCGAGTTGGGGAAACAAGGACAGACAGAGGCGACAACCTCTTGGCGTTCGTATCTTGACTTGGTGCTGGTCCCGATTGCAAAAGACAGCGAGGCAGATTCATCATTTCTCGTCGAAAGTGTTGCTGTTTGTCACGACGTAATCTTTCGTCTAAAACATTTGTCGTGCTTTGGAGTACGAACCAAAAGCCTCGGATACACACTCACCCACGAAGCAATGAGACAACTTTGGTTGTTGTGGCAGGATTCCCTAGTCCTTCCCCTCCCCCCTTTCAGCGAGCTAGACTTGAAAACAGCACTTCTTCAAGCTAATCTGACCGTCTCGAAAACGACGCAAGCGGAATATTGTACAAGATCAGCTGATGCTCTGGACAATATTAATTATAAACGCTGGATTTACTCTCTTTGCTCTTTACTTTGTCTAATTATCCTCCATTTTCTGCGATACTCCCTTCGTAACCGACTTCTGCGTGTTCCGGTACTTCGGAGTATTCTGCGATTGCAGATGCGTTTGGCGCTCGAATCCGTCTTCCCATTCGTCTTCTCGTTATTTTGCTCACCTATTCGTTTCCTTATTCTATGTTTTATACTTCTTTATCTCTTCCGACTTTCCGCTATTTACTGTCTTCTTAGATTACTCCATTTCCACAGTTAACTTGGTTGTTTTCATGTCTTCAACAAGACGTTCCTCTCTTCACCATCTTTCCCCTCTTCTTCGTCGTCGCCAGCTTCTAACATTCATCCATTCTTGTCAGCTGACTGTCCATTTCGTGGGAAAAGTTGGCTGTAGGAAATTTGTGAAATTGTCTGACCGGAAGCCGAACGAGGATTGCCGCCGAGCCGAATGAAAAGTGGCCGATTGGGCGACAGGTCTTCGGCTCACCGTCCGGCAGGAGCGATGTGCATGTGCTGATCTTGCGTCTGTCCCGTCCTCAGACCGAGCAACATACTTCACGGAATGGCCGGCTGCAACCCTTGTCCCTTTTTCACCAATCTCTCTTGTCAGCTCAATGACGCGTGGCCTGATTTGATTGGTCACCTCAAACGGACTCGACACGCTTGCAAATGAGTGCAGAAGTCGCTTCGATGACAATTGTTTCCTTACACAAATTTATCAACTACCCCACGATCCCATAGTGGTGGCACATGTTTGGCTATGTGTGTGTGTGTGTGTGTGTGTGTGTGTTTGTGTTTGTGTGTGGAATGCTAGAGGTTAATTTAACAACTGTCCTATTCTACATGACCATCAACTAAAGCGATAACTTGTAATCCAACTTGCAATCATTAAACGTATCAATTCTACCAACATTTCCTCTTTGAATTCGGTACCATTTGAAGGACGAATTTCAAGTCAGTTGATAGCACCTCCTCATTGGAAGTGTCCAGTGAAGTTTTGAGCAGAGTTTCATCTTTTTGGCAACAACTTCCCTCAGCTTCACTTTATTACATTCGGACAGTTTCCTTGAGCTAATTCTTTTATCAACATTTATTAATTTTCCACCTTGTGTCTTTCTATCTTGTCGAAAAATTTGTCATTCAACTCATCCGCTATTCTTGGAGTCAATACAAGCCTACGAACTTAGAGCCTCGGCCAAGATTGGCTTGAATGTAGTCTTAATTTTAATTTTAATTAACAAGCGCAACTTTGCAATGTGTTACTTAAATATAATTTCAAGCAGACCAGGGAATACGTCCGAAAGATCAGTTTTACTTTTACAATATTAGTTTATGGCCTAGAAATAATGCCAAATTGCGGAATAATACTACGTGAGCAACAAACTTTCACAAATCGAATATGATTTGATGATTTTTATTTAGAACGATGAATTTCACAACTAATATAAGCCATACCTACTTCGGAGATATGAAGACAATCTGAAAATCTGGGCTCACCGAACAATTGGCATATACCCGAAACGCAACAGACGGGCACAACTCACAACAATTTGCCGTTTGCGAACGCTTAGCACCAAATCGTAAAACTAAGGCGTCTGCACAAGTCAACAAACCAACCGACCTCCTTAATTGGACGATCGAGTGTAGAGAATTGGGCAGAAACTATTTGTGGCTGTTGAATAGACATGAAGAGAGGGAGCGAGCGGGAAGAACTGTTGAGCAAGAGAAAGAGGTCGGTTTAATCTCGAGACTAGCTACCATTATTACACTTCTCATGACATGAGCATTACACACACACACACACACACACACATAAAGGAAATAGCGCATACCCAAACAT